ACATTTAACATTCACTACTCTTTGAGGTGCAATTGGTTCGTTATTGCCGATTGTTCGCTTTATCCGGTTTCGATATAACCGGAGTAGGGGGCTCCCATACATATGTAAAACATGGACTCTTGGATAGTTGTACGTATATACACGATGTACGATGTAGGTGTATTAAAGTATCTTATATTTACCTACAATTATATTAAACTGTCGGTGGTTTCATTAGTGTAAATATTATTATTTGTATGACACTTGAAACAATAAACAACAAGAAAGGACCATGCGACGCATGCATAAGCAAACGCTTATTTCCAACATTTTAAGTATTGCCAAAGTTTTAAGTAATTCCAACATTATTGGTACTATTTTCAAGTAACACTTTGCAAAATATTTGACGATTTGTTATTTAACAACCCTAGAGAAATGTATACGTTTCTAGTATGTAATTTCGTTTGTTTTTCATCTATAACAATAAATAAATATTATGTCCTACTTTAGGGGAATGTGCAATCGTGTCTAACGCAATAGTTTCATTCTCCGTGTTCTGTTTAACTCGTCTATAACGTGGGCCACAAATGTGTGACGTATTTTACTAATGTATCATTTCCTGGTTTCAAATATCAGGCGACACTGTTTATAGACGGAGTCTAACAGTCTATTTCCCTCTTGTCGTTTCAGTACATGACTCATAATTGGCGAATAACATCATCCGATTCTTCCTTCTTCGTTCTCTCTATCTCAGTCGTGTTAAAATCATTTACAGATACTTTGTAAATTGACACCCGACCAGGGCGCAAAATATTAAGAACCTGGCCCTCACTCTGCATGCTGCCGGCAGATACAATGTGACAATGCTTGCCAGTCATGCGATATTCCTCCAACTGCAATAAGCACCATGTTCAGCCAATCAGGGACTAGGGGGAGGGGCTGCACGTGAAATGTACATGAAATGTACACGCATGCAAGACATTGGATCGTTTCTGCCATGTGTGTACGTGTCTGTTGTTATTATATTGTGTGATAGGTTTCGGGATAATTAAAAACGCCAAATTGGCTTATTAGTCACATGTTTCGTATTGTATGATTTATTCGTTGCCGTCATCCACGTTGAGTGATACAACCGGCAGGGATGGAGTTATGAAATCGATTAGGCCACAACAAATTGATTAATTGTTTTCGGATCCCCGGAAACGCAGACTTTGTTGTCTGAAGACCTAAAGTGTATAACTACTTCTTTGTCAAGTCTTTGAAAAGCATTTAGAAGAGATAGACACCTGATGAAGGAGTAAGCATATACATCCATAACAAATCTTCCTTAACTTCTTAATTGGTATTCAGGACGTATCAGGGCTACTTGTTTCCCTTCTTCGTCGTCCACCTGAAGACATGAACCTTATTACTCATAACGTCGTATTGTTTTTTGTCACGACGTAGAAGTAGCCTCAATACGTCGTGACAGAGAAGGAGCCACAATACTTCGTGACAAAGAAGTAGCCTCAATACGTCGTGACAAAGAAGTAGCATCAATACGTCGTGACAAAGAAGTAGCCTCAATACGTTGTGACAAAGAAGTAGCCTCAATACTTCGTGACAAAGAAGTAGCCCCAATACGTCGTGACAAAGAAGTAGCCTCAATACGTCGGGACAAAGAAGGAGCCACAATACTTCGTGACAAAGAAGTAGCCTCAATACGTCGTGACAAAGAAGTAGCCTCAATACGTCGTGACAAAGAAGTAGCCTCAATACGTCGTGACAAAGAAGTAGCCTCAATACGTGTTGAGTGAGTGAGTGAGTTTGGTTTTACGCCGCTTTTAGCAATATTCCAGCAATATCACGGCGGGGGACACCAGAAATGGGCTTCACACATTGTACCCTTGTCGGGATTCGAAGCCGGGTCTTCAGCGTGACGAGCGAACGCTTTAACCACTAGGCTACCCGACCGCCCCTCAATACGTCTTGACAAAGAAGTAGCCTCAATACGTCGGGACAAAGAAGGAGCCACAATACGTCGTGACAAAGAAGTAGCCTCAATACGTCGGGACAAAGAAGTAGCATCAATACGTATTGACAAAGAAGTAGCCTCAATACGTCGGGACAAAGAAGTAGCCCCAATACGTCGTGACAAAGAAGGAGCCACAATACGTCGTGACAAAGAAGTAGCCTCAATACGTCGGGACAAAGAAGTAGCATCAATACGTTGTGACAAAGAAGTAGCCTCAATACGTCGGGACAAAGAAGTAGCCCCAATACGTCGTGACAAAGAAGTAGCCTCAATACGTCGGGACAAAGAAGGAGACTCAATACGACTTGACAAAGAAGTAGCCTCAATACGTCGGGACAAAGAAGTAGCCTCAATACGTCGGGACAAAAAAGTAGCCACAATACGTCGTGACAAAAATAAGACGTATTTTCCATGTGAACAATTGACTTGCCTTTGCATGTGTTTGTGACGTGTGCCACCGGTGGGGCAGGATACACTCACCTTTTCGCGAACACCTGAAATCATCACTGATTTGATAGTGTTTCATAAACACGTGCTCATGATATAGTCGGAATCGTAAAATCGACTCTCTATTGAATATCGAAAGGGTTTTGTTGCTTTTATTACTATGAAAAAGTTCATGTCTGAATGTGCATCCAACTTCTTAATGCCAATCAAAAGGCATTTATAAGAATTAAATAAACAGATTTTAGTGGGGATTTTCTGAAAAGGCTCAAATGACACCATTCGACAACAATATTGCCTCCCTTGCGGTAATTTTAAAGCCTCCCTGGCGAGTTTTTTTAAACATGATTACTCGAAAATCCCTATTATCCCCTAATGCCAATTCATGAGCGGTGCGTTATTAAGCAAAGACTAGGCTATAAACATAGAGTCATAAAGACATGAAACTATTATGGATAACAAGTTTTTTATTGTGTGTGACGACGTTTCAGGGTTACGTCTAGCCCATATATTATTCACAATCATCGCACTGTCTATAAACAGTGTTGCCTGACATTTGACATCAGGAAATGTATGAGTGAATATGATTTTACGCTGTTTTCAGTATTATTCCACCAGTAGCACGGCGGAGGACACGAAAAATGGGCTTCACACATTACACCCACGTGGGGAATCGAACCCGGGTCTTTGGCGTGAAGAGCGAACGCTTTAACCACCAGGCTACCCCCACCATCCCACCAAGAAATGCCACTAGTCAAAATGCGTCAAACGTTTCTGTTGAGGAGCAAGAAGCAGCCCTTAAACGTCGTTACAAAAAAAAGTTGTATCCGGCCTTAATGTTTGTCGAACTTCTTAATGCCTCTTAAAAGCATGATAAGATGCACCAATCATGGTAAATATTAAGTTTTTATGATGATTATAATAAAAAGCGATGCTACCAGGAGCGTATCCTACCCCACTGGCGGTACCCTCACAAACCCATGCAGAGGCGAATCAATTTTTCACCTGAAAATCACGGGAACATATGGTACAGTCAAAATAAGGAATTGAAACGGACTTAACCTTTGTCACTGATGCGTCAACTTTGGAAATGTCCTCCACGTGTCTACGACAAAACGTTTATCAACGTTTCCAGTTCACTTTTGACAAAAGTCCGGCGAAGAAAAATCAATGTTAATGGCCTAACAAGGCTCAGCCTTCCCAGCTACGACTGAGAGTTCAGCTGCTGGTTTATGCCGGGTGTGTTGATATGTACAGTGCGTGGGGTGAATATGTGGACACTGGCGTCAGCGGTGGGGTATTCAATGTCGAAATCAAGCCAGTCACCCGAGAATATCTATAATTATATATGTGGATAGATAGAGATCAGAATGCCATTGTTCACCCAGTCGCGAACTATCATAGTCATGTATATATATACACTATTGTATCTCTATTGCACTCCGTTACATTATGCGCACGGGGCTTTGTCTCTCTGTTGTATGGAATAATATGATGAACAAAAAATGCTGTATTATTTCATTGAGATGAGTATCTCTTTTAAAACACTTCGTGAGTGTGCAAAAGGCTTTACTTGTTATAGAAGTCAATTGGTTGTTTTAAAAAAAGTTGAAATATAACTTGGGACATACATACATACATACATACATACATACATACATACATACATACATACATACATACATACATACACACATGGCTGAAATAATACCGATGAGACGTTGAATATTATTAACTCACTTACTCACTCATATATTACTAATAAATATCGTATATACACAGAATGAGGTATGCACACTGTAAATATCATACACTTAGAATGAATTATACCGAAGGTAAATATTGCATACCATGAATGAATAACATATACCAAGGGTAAACACAATATACTAGTACCCAGAATGAATACCCAGGTAAATATCACACCGAATTATACCGAGGGTAACTGTTGCATATCCAGAATGAATATCAAATACCCAGGATAAATACCATACACCAATACACAGAATGAATGCCATATACCCAGGTAAATATCAAATACACAGAATGAATGTCATATACTCAGGTAAATATCAAATACACAGAATGAATGCCATATACCCAGGTAAATATCATATACCGGTACTCGGAATGAATTAAACCCGTGGGAAATATCATATACACAGAATAAGTATCACACATGGTTAACACAGTATACTCAGAATGCCTTATACCAAAGGTAAATATTATGAACCAATGTATAGCCTATAACCAGAATGAATGGCGGTTGCAAGCAGTAATGGGTTCAATATAAATTATTTCAGTGATCAAAAACAATTTTTAGCCACATACATGTCATATGGTCATACACGGTTAGGCCAAATTGATTTCCAGCAACAGATTAGTGAACACGTTATAGATAGACACCAACAATGTTGACATTGTGGACAGGGTAGGAAGTATGTATGTAGGAGATATCTACCCATTGTAATATAGAATATTTAAATACCATACTAGTCAACAATAACTTAAGTTTCTCTGCTCGTATAAACAATTTTCGAGATTCAGTGAAGTGTGTACTCACATTTCTCCAAGGCTTCTATATAGACAATACTAGCGGCAGGTTAACAATGCAATGCCACCAATGTCCCACCCAAGGTGTCAGCTCTGGTGTCGCATATCAACAATGTATCCCGTTCAAGCCGACTACCCTCCCCACCGTAGTGTAGCAACAGTTACGAAAACCTATGCTTAATATTTCGTGTAATTAATCCGGGTGCGTTTGTCGGGGTATTGTTCCGAGCATACAAGTGCATGGAACGAGGGATCTAAGCCAACAAGATTTGCATTGTAAGATCAGAGGGGATTAGACGCAGTGGAGCAGGTAACTGGGGGGGGGGGGGGGGGGGGGGGGGCATAGCATTGTCGCAACACATCGCGCGAACCCTTCAGCAGGTGTGCGATGGTGCTCCGTCTGTGTATGGAGGGTTACGTGGCGTCTCTAATCACAGGAGGGCATCGATATTGGCAGCCCCGTGCACACGGCAGCTTGCTTGCATTAAAGCCCCGGGCTAACGGGCGTCGTGTTACGTTTGTTTTTTCTTATATTGACTTAGGTAATTTTGTTCCTGTTGCGAATATTGCTACTGAAATGATCTCGTTGTTGATGATGCTGATGTTGCTGCTACTACTACTACTACTACTACCACTACTACTACTTCAGCTGCTGCTGCTACTGCGGCTGCTAATACTACTACTACTACTACTACTACTACTACTACTACTACTACAGCTGCTGCTACTACAACTACTACTACATCTTCTACTAAAGCTGCTACTACTACTACAACTACTACTACTACTACTACTACTACTACTACTACTACTACTACTACTACTACGGGGGGCATAGATGGCTCAATCGTATAAGGCGCCGCAATTCGCTGTGCAGAGTTGCGTATCTTGGGCACACCAGAAACATATGAGTGGGGTTCGAATCCCGGTCCTCCCCGATTATGTTTCTAGGTTTGTCAAAACCATACCCGTGCTCGTGGATTTCATGTGGTTAACGCCTACAGTGTGTATCACTTCGGTTTCCCCCCTCACATCAACTGACACGCCGTGATATAACTGGAATATTGCTAAAAGCGGTGTTAGCCCAACTCACTAACTCACTCACAACTACTACTACCACAGCTACCGCTACCACTGTTCCTACCACTACGCCTGCTGCTACTACTACTTCCTTTTCTGCCACTGCCACTGCCACTGCCACTGCCACTGCCACTGCCACTGTTACTGTTACTGTTAATGTTAATGTTAAGGTTAATGTTACTGTCAATCTTACTGCTTCTACTGGGGGCACGGGTGGCCCAGTCGTCTGAGGGTCCGGAATTCGCTGTGCATAGCTGCGTCCCTCGGGTGTACAAGAACCACCCTGGCTATGTTTTGGGGTTTGTGGGTTTCACCAGCGCGGTATACGTGTTAGGCCAGTGTCACATCAGGCTTTCCCCCCACATCAAGCTAACACAAGCTGACACGCCCTGAAATAACTATAATACTGTTAGAAGTGGCGTTAAACCAAACTCCCTCACTACTTCTACTGCTGCTACCACGACTCCTAATATTTCTAATACCACTACTACTACAACTACTACTACTACTACTACTACTACTACTACTACTACTAGTAATTCCAGTAAGTTCCAATGTTTTGGAAATCTCGAATGTTCCGCCGACGTATCAACTCAGTGCATGACATGTGTGACCTCTAACACAAGTACCATATTGTACTCGTTCACATTCATGTTTTTAATTAAATTGGAAAAATAAGAAAATAGATTATAACTTAAATTCATAAAGTAATCCATACAAAAAATACGGGTGGCAATGGGGGTGGAAGTATCACAAAGACACAAAGTGTATATCTTCGATTTTGTATTTAAATGAAGTAAATAAGGATTTAATTAAGATCATTATACCTCATGTAAACAATTTATTGACTGTGGATCTATTAATAATTATTAGTAAAACAGGTCACATTTTGGTTTCCTTATTTGTGCTAAAATATTATATATGTTTATTATATCCAGATTAAAATAAATAAATAAATACAGCAGAGGGTTTGAGTGATCCTGGCACAGTCAATTAGGCTATTATTATTATTATTGCTGTTGTTGTTTTTATCGTTATTATTATTATTTTTATTTTTTTTCTGAAAGACAACGTCTAACGGTAGTCAACAGCGACACAAGTAAACCTTGATTCATCAAGCAATATTCAACTGCGACACTCAACTCATATGTTCCATCACAAACACGCCTGGCAACGAGTTGATATGACAGTGACAGAGCAGACGGAGATAACCGAGTCATCGCGGAAACGACCGATACGCAGAAATCATAATTCCCCTCAGTTCTATTTATAACCGAACATGACATCATCCCTCTGATTCGTAAGCTGGTTCCCGGCTCGCTCCGCGCATGGTCAGCATGCGCATATTTACGACATGTCGAGACGGAGCCCAGCTTAACTGTTTCGCCGCTAGGAGTCAGGCCGTCGCTTATATATCGCTCATTCATGTAAACGAAGCACACTCGCTCATACGCGGAGAAACAGTCACTGTGTGTGTGTGACTCAGACCAGCTGTTTTATTCAGAGAGATGATTTAACAGTGACTTTCCACGGAATGGTTATATAGCGACCGAGGGTAGAAACACTCGCATTTGCTTGTTGTATTAGATACCGAGCGCTTGTGTGAAAGAGTGTTTGTGAGTGCCCACGTCAGCTGATCGTGAAGCCCATGTTATGGTCTTGGCTCCGTTGGATTAAAGAAGGATTATTTGTGTATAGTTTCACAGACTCACCGATGCCTGAATCAGGGGATGTCGATGTGCTAGCACCAAGCAGCATCGCTTTTCCGGATCACAATCTTCCAGATAGGAGGAGAATTGGTTTAAAATTGGACTTTTCAAGACTTGGGGGATCAACGGGGGATCGGGACGATTACCACATGCCTAAAAAGTGCAAGTTCGAATCCATGTCTTTTGCTACATGTTCTTTGACCAGTGCGTTGTCTTTGAACAAGACTAGTATTCCTGCACGGACAATACTTCCCCACGAACTCGCCTCCAAACTGACCAAATCCAAGCCAGTGTTAGTACTAGACTGTCGACCATTCTTAGCTTTTAATCTGAGCCACATTCACGGAGCGGTCAACATCAGCTGTTCGGATAGATTCAGTAAAAAGAGGCTACAACAGGGGAAAATATCTGTGTCGGATTTAGTGACGACGAAAGAGGGGAAAGATATTCTCAATAAAAAAATTCCCAAGGAGGTTGTCTTGTATGATGAACAAACTAATGACTTACGTGATATCACGACTGACAATGCTCTACATTACGTGCTTACGTCGCTTCATCGAGAAGGAAGGGAAACGTTTGTGTTGAAAGGTAAGCGTTAAATTAATTTTCCTATTCAACTCTGAAAAGTTTTCCGTCCGATACAATAGGCCATGTGTCGCCTGTCATCCTACGCCTTGAACACACCTGTGCTTCCTGCTTCTCGCGACACCTTCACACAGGCAACATGTGACACTGAACTTGTACATTTCATGTCAATTTCGAAATTTACGACATATGTAAGTGTACATTTCATGTCAATTTCTTTCCTAATCATCACACGGAGTAGAAATAGCCGACGTATCTCGGATCTTAGTCAGCGCCGACACCAGTCCAATCTAGAGCGCTGACCTAATTTCGCGATGAGTCATCGCCGCTTGTACAGAGAACAGCGAGAGAGCCTTGTTTGTTTACCAATGTTGTTTTCCGTTGGCAAACCCAAACAATGAGTGTTTCATTTCGAGACGTCCTCAAATAAAATATCTGATTAATCACCGAATGTCCAGAATATTTGGCTGGGATGGACCTTGAGAATATTGGTGTTTATGTTGATTATATTGCTCAGGGCTGTGATACATTACGGATAGGCGGTGAGAGTACACGATCAATGCCTATCTACCTCAAAGACAGCTGTTGCATAATAGCTTCTTTGCGCTTGATAGCGCTCGGTTTAATGTGGTTAATTTCAGAGGGCATGAAGCAGTTGGCCAGTTTGTAAAAGGTTAAGGTGAATAATAAGATTGTCATCTGGACATTATGTGTAGAATACATTAGCTCGGGCAGGAAGCGGGCCTGTCGCTAATGCATTTAAGAATACATTTGAATTCGGAATGAAATTATCTTTAAATTTATCTCAGCTTACTTCAAATTTAATTTGTGGTCTTTATTATCTCGTTTACTTCAGTAAGCACTTTTACTTCAGTTGTTACATAACTTGGACACATTTACTCGGTGTTTCCAAACTTTTAAGAGGTCTTTGTTTCCAAACACATGCATTTGGGAAGTGCATCGGGAATTAAAAAACTGAAACAGTTTGCAACACAATATTGTGGCAAGCAACACAATGGTTTGTGGAATTGCCACATGTGGGAAACATAAACTTGAACCCAGATCCTTTCCGCTTGCACCCCACATGATATACTTTCTAAATTCCACGGAAATAATTTTCTCTTATCGAGGGGCTCACGCCGAAGCCGCATTTAGGCCCATGTGTTAGGCCCAGTGTTTCCTGGGAAGTTCATGAACTCCCTCTATGGTGGCCGTGACTCACCCAGCATGTGTATATAACACATTGCCGAGTATACAGTCAGTGTAGATTGCCTGAAGTCGCGTTCCTCTCTTTTTTTCTTGGATAAGTGTCCTCCTTATCACAAGCCCGACTTGAATTGGTGTCGGTTTTCAGGGCCAGACCGCAAGAATCCTTGACTACGAGATTTTGCATGTGGCAATTTTGACACGGGGATGTTAGGTACAGTTAACTCGTTTCCTATCGGGTCCGGATCGTGTCGAGCAAATTTGTCTTAATGATATCACTAAAAGTGTCTGGCATGCGATCAAACTGTCATGATCATACGCGTCTATGACATATAGAGTATGAGGCACATGGGCGTGTTTCTGTAAATGCAAATAAGTTCATTTCCTACTGTAAATTTACAATTTACGTAAATATGATTTTTCAATTTCTGAAACACAAAATTATATAAGGCTTTCAAATTAGGTATAAGTTTTTTTGTTGTTTTTTTTCAATGTGTAATTATCTGATTTTTTTTTTTTCAGGGGGATTGAAAGATTTCAGTACAAAGCATGGAG